GCTCAGGGGACATAACATTTTAGTAAAATCAAAATTTGTATAGTTATCCTAGCAGTGCCGGCAACCTCTGGCTTCCTTATTAAAATGTCTAAATAAAATACTGGCGGCCGTCTCTGGCTTTATTTCCATCTGCTCTCCGTGGCCTGACCCGGAACCCAGCCAGGGTGGCGAGGTCCGGGCCAGGGTGTCCCTGGTTTCCGTCACAGCTTGTGCAGCTGCGGATTCTCACGTGGGCACCAGGGCCGGCCGGCCCTTGCTCGGTCTGCAGTCTAGACTCTGCACGCTTCTGGGAAAAAAATCCAGGGAGAAATATCCCACAGGGTAGCCAGTATTTGGTGTTGTTTTAAATAAACTCGTAAGTAATCTATACCTTTTCTCTTTTTAATTGCTGCACTTTAAAAAGAGGTCTTAGTGTATATTTATATATATATATATATTTTTTTTTTTTTGGCAAGAGAGGCCTATTGGGGTAGAAGTTGTAGAGCAAATACTCTCTGAATGGTTGTCTGATTTTAGCAGGCGAGCATCATTTCTTGATCTAATTTATAATGCGATATAAAGCTGCTGGCCAGCTGACACTAATCTTAATTTATGATCTATTTAACCTTTTTATTTCCCAACCACAGCACGCACCGCCCCCTTCCCTGGGCCGGCGTGACGCGTGCAGAGCTGCAGCGCCTCAGGTCCGGACCCTCGAGGCCAGGGGGGCTGACGCACAGCTCCCGTGCTCCGCGCAAGGCCCGGTCAGGGCCCTGCAGATTCCTCACGCTGTCCTTGTCCCCTTTCGCGTTTCTGAACTGCCGGGTCTTCAGAGTAGACCCTGCACGTACACAGATGATAATGCCTTTTTTTTTTTTAACTTTTATTTTGAGATAATTTTAGATTTGCAGAAAAGTTAGCCAAACAGTACACAAAGTTTCTGTATACAGCCTCCGTCTACTTTGGCGGAGAATTAACGCCTTACACAACCACAGCACAGTTAGCACAACCAGGGCGTGGATGAGGTGTGTTATGACAGACCCTGCCGTCTCTCCTGTGTCCCCCTCTGGTGCAGTGGCCTGAATGTGTGTGTTCCCCCAAAATTCCGATTCTGAACTCCTCACCCCCAAGGCAACGGTATTAGGAGGTGGGGCCGCTGGGTGGGGATGAGGTTGCGGGGGCAGACCCCCCGTGTATGGGATTAGTGCCATGGGAAGGCAGGAAGGAGCCGTAGTTCCATGAGCCAGGAAGTGGCCCCATCAGACACGGGCCCAGCAGGTGCCCTGATCCTGGACTGCCCAGCCTCCAGGACTGAGAGGAAGGAATTTCTGTTTGCTTATAAACCTCCCAGTTTTAAAAGTATTTTGTTATAGCAGCCAGAAGGGACTAAGACATCTAGTTGGTGACAGTTCTCTTGTCTTGCGTGCCTGCTTGTGCTGGCACTCTCTGCAGGAGAGGACCCGATGCTCCTAGTTTCGTGGGCGTGCTCTCATCCTTGGGGTTTGCGGATGTTGCTCATATTAGCGCGGAAGTTATGTGCTCTTTCTGCTAGCGACGCGCACCGGGGTGCTCGGTTGCTCTCGGTCGGGGCATCTCGCGCGCGGTCTGTCTGTCACGTCTTCTGCTGCGCTTACAGCTTGGCGCGTGCGCTGGCGGAAGCGCTGCGCTCTGCTCGTTCTCCACTATCGCCACCCCGTTTTCCCTTTACTCCGCAGAATGTCTTGGGGGAGCTACTTTGAGACCCAGATTGGTCCTCGTCTGTCCTTCCCCGCCTTTAGCGACCCCGGGTGCCATCTTGCCCGTCGCAACAAGTTGTTCTGTTCTCGCTTTTAGCCACGGTGGTTTTGTATTTTCTTCCTTCTCCTTGCATTTGCTGATTGGAATTCTTCTGTGCGGAAGAGCTGTCTCTTTTTTTCCCCATCTATTTACTTATTCAATGAATTATTTGTTCACTATGGAGTCTCGCTCGTTTGTCTATCCAGTTCTCTCCGGGTCTACGCTCCGCGTCTCGCCGGTTATTGTCACTTTTGGTTACGAAAATCTGCTCCACTGCCCCCCGCCCGCCCCCCTCGCGCTCTGGCGCTCTTGCTTCGTTGGCTCCTTCCTCTCTCGCGCTCTGCCGCTCTCGCTCTCTACGCTTTCTGACTTTCTGGCACCACAGTATAATCCAGGCTTATCTTGTCTTTTCCCTGCCACAGCCCTGGGCTCAGTGACTTCTCCAGAGGAACCCTCTTTCCTTCTGGCTGGAAGGTGGCATTTAGAAACTGAGATCCGGGTGCTGGGTGTGCTCATTGCTGTGCAGGTGCGGCTGCTTCCAGCTGTTCCCAGTGGACAGCGCCAGGGACGACATGTATATACTGACCCCTGTGTGCACACACGTCTGCATCTATTTTTGTGTCTGTCATCTGCGTGCATATGAAAAGCCACAAGTTCATCCCGATGCCTCTAATTTGGGTCCAACACAGCAGGTTGGTTTCACTCTGGCCCTTTCCCTCTTCTCTGATGGTGAGAAACCAGGTGCTTATTATCTGCAATTTATTTACTTATGTAATGGCTTCTTTTAATCAGACTCCAATAAAACCTGTGTCATTGTAGGGGGTGGTCACTAGATGCAGATGAGGCCGGGGAGGCGAAGCCCCACTCGTGAAGGAGAAGGAATATTTCCTGTGCTTGCTTGGTGGAAGGACTTCTATCTGCAGAATTCTTCTGTAAACATGATTAGGAGCACGGAGTTGACATTTGGACTGAAGTAGACAGAAAATGAAATCATTTTGTTTCAAAATAGAGGGCATGTTTCCAAATAGGTATACCAGCTAATTAGCTTATTTCTCAAATATACAGTTGTTGCATGTTGAGAACAAATAAAGCAATGAAGATCCTCTAATGTTGTTTCATGTGAAGAATAATCATTACCTTTTATAGCATTCTCTATTAATTTAGGGTTTTCTCTTTTTCTTTAACCCATTTTATTTTCTTTTAACTCTCATTTTTGTGGATTCGTACTTTTTTACCTACATGTGATTCATTATGATTCTGAATTCTCTGTGTTGGAAACAGAAATGCTGAAAATTCATTAGATGAATATAAAATCCCTTAAAAGACCTGGTTATACTGTATCGAGGGTCATGCGGGATCCGTGCCCTATGGTGGGGACAGTCAAGTGTCGTGAGGTCTGACATAGCGTCTTAGCCCCGGACGCCATGCTGTCCGGGACGCCAAATCCTACTACTTGCGTTGGATTTCCCAGTGGCAAAAGACCCTGACACTCAGCTGATGGAAATATAAACTTATCGTCACTTTTCAGTAGACGACTGAAAACTGTTGGATATATGTGTGAAACGACTAGATCTTGTTTTTGGAAGTAGAAGGATGTAAGTGATTGAAAAATAATTTGGAATTATTGTTCTAAAATTTCACTTATTGTGTATTAAGAGGTTAGGCGTTCCCTAATTCTTCCTTTCTTCAGTTTGGCTTTGTTTTTGTTAGAATCTTTTTGTCACAGACTTTTGAATATGGACCAATATTTCAAATCTTGGGATTGGAAAAAGGTACAAAGATTAGATTTTTAAAACTTCTCAAATAGTGTAGGGGGGGTTACCAGGGGCACATTGTTCAGAAAGTCCTTGTTGTTGCTGGGTTTGGCGATGCCCGGGTTCCTACTGCCGGGACATGCACCTTTGCAGGCTGGGGCGGGGGTCACTTCAGTGCCTTGGGAGCCACACCTCCGGCCGGCTGTCTCCAGGCATCTTTAGCTAACGGGGCGTTTGGTGGCAGGGGGACTGGACTGTGGGGTTTGGAATCCCTGGGCTTGATTTTCGGCTTCTGCAACTTGCTGGAAACATGACCTCAGGCGAACAGGTGCTTCGCGTTGGTTTCCTTACCTGTGATGAATGGATTATGATGTGACCTCTCTCCACGGGTTACTGTAAGGACTGATTTTATTAATGCTGTAAGTGTCATCTATACGACATACCCAGGATTCAGTGTTACCTTTCCAAGCAGTTTGGGATCTCTGATTAGCTTGATTTCTACTTCATGGACAGCTTTCTTCTAAATTTAAGACTAGGTGGAATTACAGAGTACCAGAGTTGTACAGACTTTTAGAGAGAAAGTAAAGCCGGAGTGGTTAGCTCTTAGTGACTTTGGTACAGTCACTTCCTGGTGCACTGATGGTTCATAAAGAGGTTCTGATAACTCTTGCATCAGAATCCTTTGCAGATTGGTTTATTCCCACGCTCAGCTCAGCTGGTGGCAGCGGCTCGGATAGTTTTCCACCACTGCACTTATAAACAACAGGGACTTTCAGGTGACGTTTGCCCATGTGCTCATTGGCTCGGTGCTGGGGTCTCTTCCCCACTCTGGGTGCCGGGCCTGGACCCTCTCAGGTCTGCCCTGCCCCCACTGTGGGGAGGACACCCTCCTTTTCTCTTGGCTGGAGGTTGGACCACATCTGCTGTGATGAGGGACAGCAGCAGTCATCACTTCAAGACTGAGAAAGTCTGTTCCTTTGGGAAATTATGGATTTTGCCGTGGTTTGCAAATGTGGGTAGGGTGGCGCACAGGGTTAATTTAATAGAATTTTTCAGTATCATACAGATTCATGTATTTTTTTAGAGACAGTGCCTTGTTCTGTCTTCCAGGCTGGAGTGCAGTAGCATGATCATAGCTCACTGCAGCCTCAAACGCCTGTGCTCCAGGGATCCTCCCACCTCAGCCTCCCGAATACATGGGCTACAGGCATGTGCCATCATGCCTGGCTAATGTTTTTAAAAACATTTTTTTTTTTTTTTTTGTAGAGATGAGGTCTTGCTATGTTGTCCAGGCTGGTCTTGAACTCCTGGCTTCAAGCCATCCTCCCACTTCAGCCTCCCACAGTGCTGGGATTACAGGTGTGAGCCACCGAGCCCAGCCCAGCATTCACGGGCCTGTTTATTTTGTTTTTGTGGTAGTTATTCCTTTTTGTCTGCCTTGTGTATTTATCGATAAGCCAATCACTCCTTTACCTTCCCTTCCGTCTGCAGTTTTCATGTTTCCATTCACCATCAGGATGAGCAATCGTGGGGTCTTCTTCCGCTGAAGCACCTGCGGGCAGGTGAGGCTTTGTAACGGCGTGACCACCATATTCACTGCCACCGTTCTGAGGACTCTGCATGTGTTTCTGGTCCAGCAGTACTTTCAGCTCGGACGTAAACCTGAACTTGGCAGCGTTAGTGCCTGTGGTGCTCACCAAGACGTTCAGGTCTCCCTTGGCAGATGTGCGTGAAGACTGCTCCGTCCCGCTCACTGGGGGCCGGCTTGGCCACTCACTGGCTTTGGCTAATGAGCGTGAGCTGAAGCGACACCTGGTGCTGCTGTAGAAGCCTGTGCGCGCCGCCCACGGTCCTCCACGCCCCCTCCCGAGGTGTGGCACTGGGGCCGCAGCCCTGGAGGTTGCCCCAGACCCACAGTGGCGTCTGGTGGCGTTTGTTACAGCGGCGTGCCCGAGCCCATCCTGACTAACACAACGCGGGCAGTGCCTGTGCCATGGCCAGAGTCTAGGCTTTGAAGTGTGCTGATCTGACCTTGGGTACCCACCTTCCACTTGAGCGCCACGTCCTTAACCTCCGCGCCTGCTTCCTTGTCTGCGGATAATTTGGTCTGCCTTTCGTTGGCCACGAGGAGTCAATGAGATCATGTATGTAAAGCGGCTGGCCCGGTGCCAGGCATATGCCGCCAATACATGTCGTCCCTGCCCAGCTGGACTTTTTGATGGCCCGTTGGCATGGGGTCGCCTGCATCAAGGTACGGAAGCCTTCTGTTTCTGGGGTGTGTGCTTTTTGACAAAAAGGGAAATAAACGATCACCAGAGTTATCTTATTTTGCCTTTCAAAGATGAGTCGAAACACGGTGGATGATGCATGCCAGAGGTGTGACGCGGGAGTCACTTTCCTTAAGGAAGGCTGCAGCGGGACACCCCCCCCGCCCCCACAAAACCGTGTGAACGTGGGAGATTGGGGGGCTGGGGACCCCGCCGCCTCCCCCCTAAACTGCCGCACTCCCTGTCGCATGTGATCAGCTTAGGGGAACCGCACGCGGTTAAAGGGAGAAACTCAAGGGTTTCTCCCTTTATTCTTTTCCTTACAATCAAGTTACATGCTTTCTTTCTTTTTTTTTTTAAGCAATAAAGTTTAGAACAAAATGAGGAATAGAGAACAAGATGTCGAGACGGCAGACCTGAGAGAGACGACGGCTGGCTTTAAAAGCAGCCGTGCCCAGCAGAACATAAAGATGCATGCAGTCTGCAAATGCACCTTTTCTTTTTATGGCTCTGCTCCATATTTCATTTATATTTAAAACTGAGTTGACGAATATGAATACAGATATTTAGAGTTATTGTGAAGTCATATTTGTTTATGTGCGCGGTCCAGCTTCCAGACCATATCTCAGGGTTTAAAAGGGAGAGCGGTTAATGGTTTCGCCCGCACTACTTGTGGTTTCTTTCTTTTTTTTTTTTATTATTACATTCCAGTTTCTATTCTTCAGGTGTGCAGCTATTTTAGTATTATGAAGAATGATGGATGATGCGGGAAAGTTTCTTCGGAAGCACTTCTGATATTGTGCAATGCACTTGGGGGTCAGCCACACTTGACTGATGCGTGATTTATCTGGCGTCCCTGCCACTTCCCGAGATAAAGCTGCTGTTTTATCAAAAATGCCAGCAACTGTGACTTAGAATTTATAAACCTCCATTTTCAAATAATTGTTCTGATTACTTTCTGCTCCGGCAATAAAATGATAAAGGTAGTTGCACACAAATGTGAGATAGCGCCGAAATACAATAAAATTAACCTGAATTAGCTTGGCTTGTCGATGAGAAGTATTTATGAAATGTAGTGTTGCAATAAGGGAGGGAGAGTGATATTATAGCTGGAAGGTGAGTTATTGCCTTAATGTAATACTCTTTGAAATTTAAAAAAGAGACTGTTACTGTTGAGGGTGATTGTGCTTTTGAAATTAAGTTGAAGTGATTCTTATAATTGGCAACAATAATGCATTTTGAAGGTAATATCTTTTATTGTGTTATGCCTAGTTGCATTACCTTTTATTTAGCCGTTTCTGGCTTCGGCTTTTCTAATACTCAGGTAGAAGCAGACGTGGAATTCTGTCGGAACCCGGGGCGGGAGGGGGGCGCGGCTCGGATGTTTTATTCTCTTTGTAGCAGTGCCCCTTGTCTGAATGGTACAGACTTTTTTTTTTTTTTCAAATTGTTTAGATACCAAAGATTAAGTATTATAGTTACTTAATTTTTTTTAAAGAAAAGTTTAAGGGAGGTTTTAGAAATATGTTTTGTTTCCCCATCTTTGTGTGGTCACTGGGGATTTCTCATTGTAGTCTCGTGGTTTTTAATACAGCAGATTAAAAATCTGGTTTTTAATACAACAGATTAAAAATCCTATTCAATAGACATAGTTTATAACCTTCCTTTTACACTCCTGAAATGAAATTCATGGATAATACCTCCCTATCTATACCATTAAAAAACTTAAAGTAGGAGAAGAGAGTGATTTATAATAAAATAATATGCATTCAGAGCAGGAATGCTTGGGCCAGGTCCGTGCTAGCAGACATAATGAAGTGAGCAGGTGTATGCACCTGGAACACACGGATGCTGCCCATGGACACCAAGACAGCCTTGTTTATTGGACAGGCATCGTCCGATCAGCAGTGACATTAGTGACATAACTTTTCCCAAAACGGTGGACAACTTTTTGTAAAGTTCGAGAGAAAATAAAGTCCATCTTTCTGTTGAGTTACAGGGTAGTCGCATTCCCAGAAAGCCTTGCATGTAATAGACATGTGCAGGAAGTCTGGACTTTGCATGTTAAATGGAGTTACGCTTTAGAGTCTGAGTAATTTTAGACCCGAATGTGCCGCAAGACATTTGAAAGTGACGCAGGACGCAGGACGGCACCCTTGTCCGGGGTGGTCCCACACATCCCAGAATACGCTGCATTCCCGATTCCTCCCATGTCAGTGTTGACAGCTCCCACAGCCATTGTCACAACCAAAACACCTTCAGATTTTCAGTCTCCCCCCCCCCAGCCCCCATTGCAAAGGACCGGAGAAGACCGTTTATAGAGAGTCCAACCCCAGCCGGGTGCGATTAGATCAGGAACCACCTGAGGGCCCCTGCGGGGCTGCCTGCGCCCTCGCCCAGGCCGCCGTGGGAGGCTGCGGCGTTGCTTCCTGGCGTGTCCTGGGCGTCCGTTTCCAAGTGGACGGGGAGAGAAACATCCCTGCAGCGGAGAGTCCTGGAGGGTCGTGATCGGCTGTGCCGTAGCACCCTCCGCCACCAGCAGGACCCCTGACTTTGTCTAGTCCAGGCTTGCGTGGGTGTGGTGGGTGTTCTTTTCCTGTATTTTTCTGACTTGTTTGGTAATAAATTTTCTAGTATTGCCAATTTGTATAGCGTCTAGCAAAAGCTACGGCCAACTTCGCAGAGTATCGTAGACTTGAAATTGGCCTATGTGTGTTTCCCCCTGTTGATTTTGGGAGGAGAGCAGGGATCTGCTGTTTTTCTAAAGAGAATGAAGTGTTGGGCAGGAAAATGCCCAGGAAAAAATAGAACTCTTGGGAGTTTTTTTTTTTTCCAGAATAAATCAGTAGAATTTAGAAAATTGAAGCAAAACAAGATTTTATGGTAGGTAGATGCGTTTTGTAACCTCTACCACCCCACTTTTTATTTTCTAGGCTTTTGGTAAACTGTGTGCTGTTATAATAGCCTATTAGGCTCTTGTGGTTTAGATAAAAGTGAAAACCTAATAAAGGCTTTGTGATTAGCCTAGCATGCATTCATATGCTCAAACACAGGACTTCTAACATATAGCAACTATCAGCTTGTTCTATTACTATGTAATAAATATAAACGTAAACATAAAATGTACCTTTTTCTTAACATTTTTGATGTAAGACTGAATTTTTGGGGCTGTAAATGATCGTGGAGCTCAGTCACGTGGTGACTGTCTCACTGTGGGCACATTCAAGTTGGTCTTTTACTTCTTTAAAAGCAATGGAGTTTTGTCTGCACCTGCTGTATCCAGTATCTCAACTCAAATCTTTGTGCTCCTTTTTTTCCCCTTGTTCTTGCTCATGGTGTCTTACTTGCATGTGTGCCTGGTTCTTTGATTATACTGGACCTTGTATTTGAGAAATTACACATTATGCATAGGGAACGTGAAGCATGAGGCGCTGGTCCCTGGAGAGGCTTTGCTCACCAGTGGGTCTCTGAATCACTCGCCCAGGTGGCCTCCTGGCTGGGACCTGGCAGAGTGGCCTCTGCTGGTTTTCAGTCACTAGTTTTTTTGTGGTGTTTGCTCACTAGGCCAGTGGTTCTCAGTGGCAGTGACTTTGTGCTCCAGGGAAGTCTGTCACCGGAGACATGGAGGGATGTCACAATGGAGGGGGTACTACTGGCATGCAGCAGGCAGAGGCCAGGGATGCCAGGGAACATCCCATAATGCACAGGACCGTCCCCACAGTGGTCGTCTGAGCCTCGGGTCCGCACTGCCACATTGAGACCATTCGTTGTCCTCTCTGTAGAATGCGTTCAGAACCAGCTGGCCTCTGTGCCCCCCACTTTTATCTGTGGCACCCCCCTCCTCATTCCTATGCATTCCCACCCCTGCCCTGATCCCCACAGCAAAAGAGCTTTCTACCTCTGTGGGTTTCAGGGGTCCCATGTCTCCCATTCCCTCTGCGGCCACTTGGGGTGGGTTCATTCAACCCGCTGGCTTCACGAGGGTGCGTGAGCACCCACGTAGCCCTTTGTTCTGGGGCTCAGCCTGCCGCCTGCCTCCCTGCTGTCGTGGGCATCTGAGCTCTGAGCCTCTAGGCCCCGGCTGGCCTTGTTTCCTCCCCTTTCATCTTCCTTAATCTGCTCCGTCCAAGTGTCCACATGCTGTTTGCAGAACCACACGCTCCCTGTTCTTCTTTTCTCTGTGTCTTTGCATAGTTAATTTTTTCCCACTTGCAAATAAACACCTTCTTTCTACCCCCTTTGAACTCCTACCCATCTCCCAAAACAACTCCCATGAAACTTGTCTTGGCACTTGAATTTCGATGTCTTGTTCTTTGGGAAATGTCTGGAGTCGTCTCTGGGTCTTTTTTAGGTCAACACGATGGGTAGGATTCAGGCTGAGTAGGATTCAGTCTTCACTCTGCCACTGAGTGGCTGTGTGTCTGTGGCCAGGTTGCGTAAGATCCCCAAAGGCTCAGTTTCCCTGTCTCTAACATGGGGGTCCCAGTTTGCAGGATGACAGTGGAGAACGAGGCGAGAATGTGCCCGTGTGGACCCGCAGGGCAGGGCACCTGTGACGGGGACTGGCCAGTGCTGAGTGGTCTCTGTGGCCCTCGGGAGGATGACCTTGGAGCCAGCCCCACCAGGGGTGGCCTCTGCTGCAGTCTCGGCGTTCGTCCCACGTCCTGGGTCGAGCTCCCTGCAGCAGGGAGCTCAGCGCCCGTTTGTGTTCCAGGCACAGGGGCGCAGATTGGAAGCCTTCCCGGGCCTGGCCGAGTGTCGGTGGAGGACGGTGCCTTTGGGGGAGGGTCTTGTCTGAGTGGCCCGGACGTTTCCCAGGTGGCATGTGGCCTCCTGGCACAGAGCTTCCCACGGCACCCCGAGGAACGACGGCCCTGCTGGGGGAGGCCGAGTTTCCAGTCCCTGTCTGAAGAGGGACCGGACGAGCTGGGGACGTGGGTGCCCCCGGAATGAGCCCCAGTAAGGAGGCAGTCTGGGAGTCTGG